CGGGCTTGTATGGGTCTTTATCGCCCTGGGGACCAGAGAGCAGGAACTGAGGACGCCCCGCCTGCTGTGGGCGTGGCGAGGACACAGGGGCTGCCGGTTGGCTGGGAGACCAGGCCCCAGGGGTGGGTGGGTAGGTGGGGGTGTGTGTGCTCGTGCAGCGAAGGAGCAGGATTCCTCCCTCACGTGAGCCCTTTCCCTGAGCCCCATCTGCAGCACAGTTCGGGGGGGTTCCTGTTCTCCCCAGCCTTGGAGCTCGATTTGGAGAGCTGCACACCGCTTGCGAGACGCTCGCCTTGGCCTGCGTCCGGGATCCTCAGAGCAGATCTGGACACAGCAGGTGCATTTAGGTGGGAAGAGGGCCCAGGACGCCGGGCAGGGGTGGAGGAAGAGGGATAGGAGGGAAGGCAGCGGTCAGAGTGCTCGGTGAGCAGTGACCGCCGCGGGCAGTGGGAGACCCCAGGGGGACGCTGTCCCCCCTTCCTCCCCCTCCTCAGCGACTGCTCCAGGAGGCTGGCTCTGCACTGCGTGGCCCACACCACACACCTGTGTGGATGGTGCCCTGGTCCGGGAGCTACCTTCTCAGGGAGATCCAAGTCACTGGATCGGCCAGGTCCAGAGGGCCAGGGGCGCCAGGGCGTGCCAGGGACATGGGTGCTGTTTCAGGAGGGGCTCTGGCGCGTTCTGCACCATCGTCAGGACTCCTCAGTGCGTGTGCGTGTGTGCGTGTATCTCGGAAGCCTCCAGAGCCAGGCTGACGGGGTCTGACTGGTCTCAGTTCACACACCTTCCTGAGGACCCATGTGCCACAGAACTGTGGGGGGCATGGATCCCCCCATGGGTCACAGTCCTTGTGCCAGAGGGAATCCAGGGAGTGACCCCAGCCTAGAAGCTGGCCCTAGCTCTGCTGCTCCCAGCTCTGTGCTGGGGACACAGCAGTGACCAGGACAAGCAGGTCTGTTGTCACACACTTTCAGTCTTATGGGGGTGGCTGCACTACAAGGACAGGAGGGAGAGAAAGAGAGGCCGGGTAGAGATGAAACAAAAGGGCTGGAGAAGAGTGGCTGGGGTGACTCCAGTTGGGTGGTCGGAGCAGCCCCTGGGGAGGGGACGTCGGCCACTGCCCAGCTAGAAACAGCAACCAGCTGCCCCCTGCTGCAGCTCGCCCGTCATATAAACGAGTACTGGCTGTGGATTAGAGAAGCTTTTTGGGTCTGCCTGACTTGGAGATGGGGACATTGCATCTTCTCCTGCATGATCCTTTTACCCAGCCCTAAACAGGGAAAAATGAACTATACCATGCTGTTCACTCTGTCTCTGGGGTCCCCAGGTCCTGTGATACAGGGCAGACACCAGAGCACTGCACAAGTGCCTTTATTCTGCTGCCCTTGTGTCCAGGGCCACCCCTCTCTACCCTCCATGCCCCACCCCAACTGCCGCTGGGGAGCCCCGATGCCTGCAGCCACTGTCCAAGGCCTCCTGGAGGCCCAGGGCTCACCCTTGGGACCTAAGTCTCCAAGCCAGTGCCTGTGGGCTGGGAGGCTCCCTGAGAGGGTGCAGGCAGCTCTGTTCTTTGTGGGGTGGGGAGCAGTGGCTGGGCAGAAGCTGATGTCCATGGAGCCCCACTACCCTCTCCGCAGAGCTCTCGGGAGCCGCCCACTGTCCTCTGCTGCTGCAGTGTCCACTGGGTGCCTGGCTTCAGGGACACAGCTGGCTCAGAGCTGCTGCAGTTTGTCAAGGCAGGAGGGTGACCGTGGAGTTTCGGCTGGAAGATCGGGCTTGGCCCTCGTTCCCGTCTGAATGGGCTCTGAAGTCCTGCTGACCTGGCACAGTGGCTCCTGAGCTCCTCCAGCAGGGGGTGGCAGGACCCCGATCACTGGCCCACCCTGCATTCCGAGGCTGCTTGCTCTGTGCACAGAACAGCACTGCAACAGCAAGCTGAAGCCCCTCCTGCACCACCTGGCCTGGCCCTCCGGCAACCACAGGAAGGACCACTCCTTGGTCGGCCTCCAGGCTGCCACCCTTAAAGCGACAGGGCCTCTCCCCAGGTTCAAATTCACCAGCTGCTCCCAGCACCCCCAGGTCACTTCCAAAGTCTCAAGTGAGGGGTGGGGCCTTGGTTCTCCACTCCTGCAGCGCTGTGGCCGGACTCTCGCCTCTCACCGGAAAGTCAGTTGCTACCCAGGCCTGAAAGGAGACGGTGCTCTTGGTTAGGCTGTGCCTGTGGGCACTGACTTCACCCGGCAGTGAGGGGGTGGGGAGAGGAGGCTGCCGGTTGTGTCCTCTGGTCTGTGTCCTGCCTCTCAGAGACACATTTACCCCAGGTTTGCCTCCTTTGCCCTTGGCGAGTTTGCTCTCTCTGGTGGGGGTCCGCACGCGGTCCCACTATGGCTCTCTCCAGCGCCTGAAGATCCCACACAACCCTTCTGGGTGGTGCCTGGGGACCACGTGCTGTGCCCTCCTGTGCTGGGCCCTGGACTGAGAACCATGGTCCTTGAGTTCCAGCCAGAACAGTCCTAGCCTAAGGTGTGACTGAGCCACCAGTAGGGACAGAACTGGGGACTCCTGGCTGTGTGGCCGCCCATCGCTCAGTGGTCTGAGGCCCCCTGCACTGGTGACGCGTGTCCTGGGCGGGTTCCCGGATGTGGGGCTCCCCTACAGGCAAGGCCAGATTGCTCCCGATGGACATCTCGAGGGAGGCCCAGACTGGTGACGTGTCCTGGGCGGGTTCCCGGATGTGGGGCTCCCCTACAGGCAAGGCCAGATTGCCCCCGATGGACATCTCGAGGGAGGCCCACGGTGGTGGCCGGGCCAAGGACGCTCAGTGGGGACCCCTCAGGAACACAGGTGGGTGGAAGGGGGTTCCGCAGAGGCTGGGAGGCTCTCAGGGCTCCTGCTGCCAGAGGAGGGGACTTGCGGGTGTGTGGCCCCACCGAGCCGAGCCTCCTTTCTGGGCAGAAAGACCTCTAAACCAGATTAAGGAGATGAAGGAGCGCTTGGCGTTGACCTCTCCTCCTCATGTGTGAACTCACGGAAGTGGCAAATTTAACTCCAGAAGAACTAAGTCCCCACGCAGGGGACACGGACCTGTCCACACACACCCCTGGCAGGGATTGGCAAGTCCCGCAGGGTTTCCCGAACCCTAAATCAGCTTTCCATTGGCCCTCGGGGTCATCTGGGCTCCCGTTCCCGGTGATGGTCACAAATTCCCGGAAACCAGTGCCCCGGGGAGAAAGTGGCAGCAGCCACAGGCTGAGTGTGGCCCGGTGGGAGGGGTGATTACTTGGCAGGGACGGTGGTGCCCACAGTCTGTGCCTGCCTCTCAGGGTGGCTGGGCAAGGCAGCCATGCTTAGAGGTGGCCCTGTGTCTGCAGAGGTGAGCCTGCTGGCCCTTGGGCCCCAGCTGGCAAGAAGAGGACCCCTCGTCACCTGTCTGTGGCTTCCTTTGTGGGGCCATGGTCACTAGGAAACCTGGATCATTTTTTTCCTTTAGGAACAAAAATGGAAAGCTGGGTGAGGTGGCGCACACCTGTAATCCCAACACTCAGGAGGCTGAGGCAGGAGGACTGCTGTTGAGTTAGAGGGCAGCCTGGGCTACACAGTGAATTTGAACTACACAGCAAGACCCTGTCTCAAAAAACCAACCCCCCATAAAAAACCCCAAAGAACAAAAGTGGGGTCCTGGGACTTTGGAGGAATTACTCCCGGAGAACACAGCTCCCAGCTGCAGGGAGCATGGAGGCCACGATCAGTCCTGCCCATCCCGAGACCTTCTCCTGAGTCCCCGGCAGAGTGGGGGCACCTTGGTAGCTGCTGCTTTCCAAGGCAGCGTGGTTCAGTGCCTCTCCGGCTCCCTGCTTCCCTTTGGCCCCAGGTGCCCTCTCTGCCCCTCCATGGAGCTGGCTTCCTGGAGAGCTGCCTGTTCCCACTTCAGTTTCCCCTTCGTCCTTCACCACTCTGGGCTGCTGCCTACAGTGGTGCTGGCCCCTGACCTACCAGGACATACAAAAGGGGCAGTGGTTACCATCCTGCCTGCCTTTCCCTCCTTCCCACCGAACTGGACTCTCCCTGGAGCTGGTTCTTGAGCTGAACGCACTTGCCTGCTGTCCCTGAAGTCCCCCGAGTGGCCTCCTTGGCAGCTCAGTGTCCCCTGCCCTGATGTCCGTTGGGGCTCCCCAGGGACCTGTCCCCGAGACATGACCACCCCCCTTTCCCTTGACCCTGGCTCTGCGTCTTAGCTCACCTCACGTCCCCTGCCAGCTCAACACCTCCCCTTGGGTGCCAGGGGCCACCAGAGCGCCCTGTCCCCCTGACACCACTCCTCCATGCCTTTCTGTGGTCTGGAGAGGCTCTGCCACCCCTCAGCGGCTCAGATCTACAGTCCAGCAGGTGCCTGGCTCTGCTTCTTCCCTGGCACCTGTCGCTCAGCCGACTGGAGGCTCCAGGCCCCCAAACCCTCCCTGGTCCCCTCCTAGCCATTGCCTGTCCCTGGTCTGCTCTTGCCTGAGCCACCTACACTACGTGTGACAGCCGCAGTGGGCCTCCTAAAGTACCAGGTAGGCCCCGGTACCTGTGTCTGGCTCCTGGGCAGGTTCCCGTAGGACCCGCCCTGCCCCTGTGGCTGCTGGGGTCCAGGCTTGGCCATCTTGTCCCCTGCGCAGCCCCAGCACGAGCAGTGCTGTCCGGCATACAGGAGGTGCCCGACAGATCAGAGTTCCTTGACTACCTGTTCAGTGTCGTTCAGTGTCTGATGTGGATCACTTGAGGATTTGGAGGTCACCAAATCTAGCTTTCTTTCTTTTTTAGACCAGGAAACCAAGGAGAGGTTGAGGTGTCAGAGATCACAGGCAGGAAAGAAGTGTCCAAGTGAGGGTGTGGCTGCTCCTGCGGTCTGGACAGGGATGGTGCCCTAGGGTTCAGCCCAGTGATCTGTAAGCCGCTCCTACCTGAAGGGCCCAGGTGGACCAGGAGCCGGGTGGGTTATGTCCTGCAGGGCGCATGTGCGGGGCTGGTGCAGCCTGGGCTACGGGAGGCTCGAGGGGGCTTATTCAGGCCACTGAGCTGAGCCTCAGAGCTGGCTAGAGCAGCTAGTTCTCTGGGACCTGAGCCAGTTCTTATGAGAGAGAGAGAGAGCCGCTGTAAGAGCCAGCCGGACCCCAGATCGCTCTCTATGAGAACTCTGACCTAATAAACCTCTTTTCTTATCAGGTTCCCAGCCTCGGGTGTTTCCTTACAGTAATGTGAAGGGAACTAAGGCATTGTGAGCTGAAAGCAGGGCTAGGGTAGAGGGTCTGTCCCTTTTGGTGTCTGGGGGAAGAGGCTGCCCACAGACAGCAAGAGCTGCCGAGGGGAAGAGACAGCCATGACGAAGGCTGGGAAGGGGCTTCCTCTCTTCCTGCTGTCTGACGTGCCATATTTGTTTCCTCCATGACTGATACAGTGTCACAGGCTGGGCCCTCGAGTGGGGGTTGCCCACACTCCAGTGGAGAGGGGGTTTCTAGCCAGGGAGGCAACAGATCACCAAGCCATCACATAGCCCCTTCCTGTTTGGACCAGAGGGCCCGGAGGTCCGGCAGAGGGACAGCACACCCAGGCCACCACCCAAGGCCGTCTCAGCGCCTCTGCCCCCGACCTCAGGGGAAGCCGAGGCCTGGCCCATGCAAAGTGGCCGCCTGTCACCCTCTGCCCTGCTGTGGCTCTGAGCCCTCGCCTTCCCTCAAGCGCCGGCACGTGGAGTGGGTGGTGGCTGCCCTTACATTTCTTCTGCAGAATGCTCTGTCTGGCCCTGATGAACGCCAGGATGTCGGAGTCTGTCCGGCTGTCTCCGGTGAGGGGGATGGACGACATTGGCCCCTCAGGGATGCTGGGGACAAACACACGTCACACTTCACTACAGCTTGTGGCAGGACTCACCTTCCCAGAGTGCGTTTCCGAGTGGAGGCTCCATCTCCTTGCGACACTGCACACGTGGGCCCTTCTCCCTCCCTTCCACCTCTGTACATCATGCAGGTTGGGGCCTGGCACTCCTGCCTTTGACTCTTTGCTTCACTCCTACATAAAATCCAAACCCTGTCCCCTCACCCCCAGCTCCTGTGTGTTCTGACCCAACTGTTCTGTTCCTCGACTACACGGGGCCTCAGGTGCTTTGCTGTAGCTGTCTCTTCCCCCTGGACTTCTCTCTCCTCCACCAGTCCTGGTCTTTCTCAAATCACCCTCATTTTACTCACTTCTCTTTTTGTCCCCAGCTTACATGGGATTTATTTTAGGATGTCTCCCCAAAATGTATGCCTCCCCCATCATGGCTGATCTAGCTGCTTCCAAGATAACGATTCCCCCGCCTCTCCTTAACGGAACCACACTCAGCTAAATTGCCACAATTAAAAACCCCAAGCCTCCCAGCTTCCTTTGCAGCTCTGCGTGGCCAATGGGATTCGCTAGCGGAAGTGTGGTTTGGGCTCGCAGGAAGTTCCGGTCGGAGGGAGGGCGCACGTGCCCTCTGCTGTCTCTGTAGCCTCAACTGCACCCCCATAAGAAAGCCCACAGCGGGGCTCTCCCTGGCTTTGCTGGTCCCCCAGCCTCTCTCGTGGTGACAGCCTGCTCCTCCTTCAAGTACAAGCGATTTCCCCCTCCCTCCCTCCTTCCTTTCTGGTGCTGCCCCCCCGCAGAGGCTGTGCCTCCAGCCCTCACAAGTCTCCGGGTGTCAGCGCTGTGCACCCCTGGGCCAGTGTGGGCAGCTCCAGGAGAAGGGGAGTCACAGGGTGAGCAGGTGAGTGGGCGATTCCGGCCCAAGGGCACAGAGCGCCCTGGCGAGGGGCCAGGCCACACGGCCAGGCTCCGGGGCATCTGCAGAGGGTCTGGTGACCCGTGGGGCCTGCTCCAGGCCGGCTTCGTGCCGGGCGACTTTGCAGCCCAAGTCCCTAGGGCTCAGACGAAGATGCCCAGGCCTGGAGTCAGCAGGCGGGAATATGAGATTCCGGGGTTGCCGGGGTCTGGGTCAAAGCTGGCCTTGGGCTGCCTGAATGGGGACTGGACTGGGTGCCTCGGGTCGTGGGAGGGGCAGATGGGCGGCTGCAGGCCCCTCTTCGAGGCAGGGGCTGTCACAGCCGGGTGCGGGTGGCGAGACACAAACCTGCCATCGGGCTGGGCGCTGGAGCTGCGCTGCTCCCGCCCTGCTGGGCCGGGGTAAGGCGTGGGCGGGATGTTCCTGCCCGTCAGGTCCCTGCAAAAACAGAGGGAGAGGATCACCAGGCTGAGGAGGTTTGGAGAGAGATTCAAGCTTTACAGATTCACACGCTGAAGTCCTGAGCCCCAGTGCAGCAGTATTTAGAGGCGGGGCCCTCAGGAAGTTATTAGCGTCCTTATAGGAAGAGGAAGAGAAACCAGAGCGCCCTGCCTGTCCGTCTGTCTGGAGACAGCAGGAAGGAGGTATTCAGACCCAGGTAGGGAGCCTCCACATGCCAGAGCCGGGCGCCAGTCCTCTCTGTGGTAGAAGGGAGACGTCATCGTCCCCGAGCCTGAGGGGAGGCGAGAGGTGTGGAATCTGCTCAGGGGCGGAACTGGCGCCCCGACCGCCGAGGCCCCGGAGTCTGTGCTCTCGGCCATGCCGCTGAGGCACTGCTTAGGTCAAGGTCAGAGCCGGAAGAGGCCTAGGAAACCACCCGGAGGACGTCCTTTCATAGCTGGGGACACTCAGGCCAGCCTGAGAGGTGGGCTCGGGTGAGCTGGCTTTGCCAAGTCCGGTCCATAGGCGACAACCTGCTTTCCCCTTATAAGAACTGCTGCTATCAGCCTGGCAAGCGAACAGTCCTGAGTTCGATCCCTAGTACTGGAAAAACAAGAACACCTCTTCTGGCCCGGGTCCAGCCTTCTGCCCTCTCCCATCTCATCTCTGGGCTCAGGGCTGTGTGTCAGATAAACAGGAGAGGAAATTAGAGGCCCTTGCCCCTCATCTCCTAGCAGCCAGGCACTGTCCCCTGGCCCTTGGAGAGGGAGACCCTTTTTCTGTGCTGGGTCGGCACGGGCTGCTGTAGGACCAGAGGCTGCCACAAGGTGTCAGGCTCTGCCTGCTTTTCTTTGGAGTCCAGTGACCCACTCTCCGGGTTCCTGGTGGTTCCTGGTGCAGGTCTGCAGAGAGGAGGAGAAAGGGTGTCCTTTTCCTTCCTGCGGTGCCTCAGAGCTGAAAAGGTCTAGGTCCGCTGGGAATCCACCACGAGTCTGCGGGGCCAACCAAGTTGTTGGCACACAGCCGCTCTGGCTCACAAGGAAGGCTGCACCGTGGGGTGGGTGGACAGGAGAGGGAATAAGGGGACAGAGGTGGGTGGGGGAGACCCGGAAGGCCAGCG